TGTTATTCATTAAACTGTATAATAATAAATAACTTTAAAACTGGGATGCTTTAAAGACAAATTGTACATTTTAATACAGTTCCAGTTGCAAAGATCAGTCTGCTGTTCTAACACAATTGTTCATGAAGATTATTCTTCTTGTCCTGTGATCAGGAATAATTTAATGGTTATAACAAGACATAAAATAATGGTGTAATTTCACTTACTGTTAAAACATAGCTAATAATTATCTTAAGATACATGAAAAAGTTACTAAAAAAATTGTATTATTTAGTTGCTTTCAAAAAGTTTATAGTTTTTCCTGCCTTTTAAAATGAGTAGTTTTGGTAGTTCAGAAGGGGAAAAATAAGTTTTAAAATGTCATACAGAAAGCACAAAATTTGTTAGCATCTGTTTCTATGTGTACATTTCCTACTTTGTGAGGTATTACTTTTTATATGATCCATTATCTAACATCTTTCCTCCAGGATTTCCCCAAATTTTCTTCCTTGCCTTTTGAATTCAGTGCAGGCCCCTGATACTTAACTTGCAGATGTCAGCTTGCTTTATCCATGCTGACTGCAGTTTTGCAAACATGCTTTTTATGGTACCAGACCTGATCAAATTTCACATTAAAAGGCAAAGGCACTATGGATTCTGGGATGGATTCTCTGCTAACCATCATCCAGTCTAAGTCAAACAAAATGCTATCTGTTTGCAAGGTGTCCAATAACTCTTTCAGTACCAAAATCCAGTGAAGAGCTAGTTTGCAGTTAGTACTCTTTGCATGCTTCAAGTACTGAACTGAATACACTATGCGACAAGGTATTATGTAAACTTTGTCCAGTTGAGGAATTTATGCACACTGTTAGGGGGTTTTTCTGTTGCACTTCACACTCCATCCTTTTCTTTCAAATCTTGTTTGTGTGACGAATTTGTACGACTCCAGCCTTGATTTTTTGAACCAGACAAAATAGGGGGATTGAATTTATTCCTTTCCATGGTATGTAAATATGTTAACCGGTTTTCCCAGGTCAAAGTATGTATTAAGTATAGTGATGTTTCTCCTTGCAGAATCTGCTGTATGGATAGTGATGGAAGTCTATATTTGCTCTTTACCATCAGAAGAACTAAATGAAAAGTAATGCTGGTGAATAACTCCCTGCGAGATTTTTTTAAACATGGATGCTCACCATAACTGCAAAATGACACAAAGTACTGCCATTTCAAAAGATGACTAAAACCTGTGTATTATCAAAGGAAATAAACTAGAATAAGTGTGGGCCATCTTGTATGTTATTTAAATCAGATTTAATGTAGGTTGTAAACAAGCAGCCAATGACATCTTGTGTTCTTGTGTTACTGACTTCAAGATATATTGTATACATACGTGCATATGTACATGAGCGTGCATATATATACACAAACATACATATTTATATGTTTATATGTGTATTTCTATATACACATTCATACACATGTGCATCCACCCGACCAGTGTGTTGTAGGTATGTATAATTGGAAGAAAAAACAGCCTCAAAACAAAACCTATGATTAATTTTCTTGATATATCAATCTTTTGATATAAAGGTTTCAAGTTTGGGCCATTGTGTCAATGGTAGTTTAGTGGATGTTCTGTGACCCTCTGTGGCTTTTTTAATTCCACTGCCATAGGAAGGTTTTGAAAGTTCCTAGGACTAATGACTAGAATTTTTTTAATTCCAAACAAATACATCTGTGCAACAGTTCATTTTAGTATAGAAGTAATATTGTGTTTGTAGAAGAACCAAACACTTAAGTCTCTACTTCCAGATACTTTTCCTTTTAATTTGAGGGAGTTTTTTTACTGAGTGTCTCTGCTGATGTATATACATGGTTCTTCATAAGAAAAAATTGATTTATGTCTTAACGGAATCCGTAAAAATGTAAAGATTGGATAAGAGTCAGCTCTGTTTAGTAGAATTTAACACTAATGTATTCACCTGCTGTTAATTTAATGAAAGGACAACAATTCTGGTAATCTCAGTAAATAGAAAATCTAATTCTTTGGTCTCCTGCTTTCACAGATTTTGCTTGTTTCTATTGCAGTCACTGAACCTAGTGTGTTCCATGAAATAATAAACCTTTTGAACAGATCTCCAGTGTAGCTGTAATGCCAGTCATAGCTGCCACATTTCTGGCTGTCTGCAGAAGCACCACATCTGTCCTGCTGTTCTTAATGTATTAGATGCAGTGTATCATTTGTTTTGTTATGTTGCCTTGCATCAAGAATTAGTCATGAAAAGGCTTTTGGACATTCAGTATCTAACACTGGGAGACTATGGAGGTGATTGTAGTTCTTTGTTGTTTTGGTTTTGTTCCCTGCATCGTTGACTGAATCTGCTTGACTATTCCCTTGCCATTGGCCCCAAGTCCCTGGTTTGCTTTATAATCGTATAATTGCAGGTGTTCTTGTGCCAGGTTTTTCTGGTTTTGTCTTCTGATATTCCTTTCTGTAAGTGGATTACTTTCCTCCCTATGAAGGTGTTCAGTTTTATTAGTGCATATTGTCCTAGTCTCTGCTAGTCCCAGGGTTGTTCACAAGAGTGAGAAACCTCAGCCATTCTCATTCTGTGACTCCAGTACAAATATATTATAGTGTGTTCAAAACAGGCTGCTCCTTTGCACAGAAAGGACTGTGGTGACTTGGAAACATGGTCAGATAATACTGAATGTCTTAGTTCTTAGGTGATACTGGTTCATTCTGTTCGTGGACTACTTCATGGATATTACCTTTGAGGGTATGTTGCCTGTGACTAATTGATCACATAAGCAAAAATACAAGTAATATTTCTGGATGTGTTGGGTGGTTGTCTGAACATTTGCACAGAAAGGACTGTGGTGACTTGGAAACATGGTCAGATAATACTGAATGTCTTAGTTCTTAGGTGATACTGGTTCATTCTGTTCGTGGACTACTTCATGGATATTACCTTTGAGGGTATGTTGCCTGTGACTAATTGATCACATAAGCAAAAATACAAGTAATATTTCTGGATGTGTTGGGTGGTTGTCTGAACATTGTGACAGAGAACATTCTGAAGGAATTGTTGGTGCTTTTTACCTGAAAAGCCACAACAAACGGTACTTACCTGTCATGTTTTCCAAGACTTTAAAAAAGGACTTTGAAGAATTCCACTTACGTGTAATTGTAGCAGCACAGGTGGACTGCGTATCGAAATGGCATGAAACACAGGAGCATGGGGAAAGCATTTTAGATGTACTTGAAGATCCAAGAAGGCTTCATGATTCAGTTTATCAAATTTATTTAAAGAAGGGCTTGCTTGCATAACTGTGTTAACTTTTTAGGAAATGTAATTGAAATATCTGTGATTTATCTTTATTCTGAAAAGAGATTTGAAACACTGCACAAAGCTCAGAGGGTATCAGAAATAATATTATCTGGCTAATAGTAATATTAATACTGGCATTGGGTAATGAACAAGTGACAGATAAGATAAAAGTAATTTTTATCAGTACTATTACTTCTGGATGCTTGAGGAGCATCAACCTGAAGCCTTTGTGATTTGGCACCAGACTTTATATTAAAGGATATATCCATTAATGACATGTAGAGGTACATCATTTGAATAGTGATATATTTTTCAGATTACTGTAGCTAGGAATTTTGATTAATACAGTGACTCTTACATCAGAAATATAGGTGGATGTGAATAACTTAGGAATTTGGTTGTGCAAATATGAGGTGAAAATTAATGTAAAGAAGATAATAGGTTGAGGAAAGACTACTCAACCAGAAAACTTTTCAGTACATTATAATTATGAATAAAGCACCCTCAGAAAATGAAAATTCTCAGAAACAGAAAATTAATTTTAAATTCAATACCACATCAGGCAAAGACTGATTTGGAGGTTCATAACAATGGTGACATTTCACTTGGGCCATGATTCAGGTAAATGATTTACCAGGACTGACAAGGTTAGCTGTTCATGTGTTGTTTCCCACCTTGGTCAGGCAGCCGATGTTCCTGCTATGGTCAGAATTGTTCAAATGATGTACCATGCAAGAGCTCCTCGTATGGTCAGGGGTACTTCACCATCCAGCTGATATGATTCAAGGCTTAGTAGGAGCTCCTGAGATTGCAGAACAGGCCCAAGGAGGAAACGGGGCGGGGGGGGAAGGATGCATCACCACAGGTAAAGAGTTGATATTTTGTGGTAAAATCGTGCTTCACAGGATTGTGGTCTAACTGAGCAGGTTCAGAAGGTATGTCATGCTGGGTAGTTATGATCAACCTTGGTTAAAAGAGGAAAACAACTTTTACTGAAGTCTAGACGGGGCAAATTTTAGGAAAAGGAAGTAAATTCAGCCTGTGGATTGATCAAGCAATTTAAAAATGTAAAACCTCATGAAATATTGGAAATATGTACACTTTCAAATATTACATTCTCATTGTGTTTGCAAGAAAAAATAAAATGCTGTTGGCTTAGGTAATTGAAATGAAACAGAGAAAACATGTCTTGAAAAATCATTTTTAGAACAGATTTTTTAAAAGGTGAATCTGAGTAAGCTGCTCTCTTGTGCTGCGTAATATGACAAATCCTAGCAGTTTAATTAATCGCCATGATTGTATGTTGCTGATAATTATTTGTAGGTGGGGCAGGTAACACCTCACTTATAGTGAAAAGCTGGAAGTAATTTTCAGGATGTCAGGAAAAATTTAGGATAGTATGTTAAATCTGGTACTTTAAAATTACCTTTTTATTTCTTCTGTAAAAATATACCTGAATTGAGTAGATTACTGTGTTAGAGTAATAACCATATAGTAGGTCAGCTGCGCTGCTCTCTTCTGTACAAAATCTTCATTCCAGCCAGTCCATGTAGTGGACACAGAAAAAGAAAAATTATTTTGATTCGTTTTGATAGTAGAGATACTTAATGTCTATAGCTTAAGCCATCATATATCTATAGCTTAAGCCATCATATACTGCTGTCATTAATATTCCATGTCTTTCTTAAGGACAAAGAAGGAGTGGAGGGTGTATCTGTGGGAGCCATTCTTTCTGACTACCAGAGAGTTCGAGTTGAAGATGTGTAAGAAAATATTAATCTTTTTTAAATATACACATTCTGGAAGGTATTGGTCTGTTTTCTAACTCAAATTTGGAGCAGAGACAGTTGTCTTATTTCTCATGTTCTCTGATACCCAGTGCATTCATTTTGCTAATATACATATCTCTTTTTTCTTTCTTTTTTTTCCTTCTGAAACTATGTGTTCATTATTAAAAATCTAGTAGAGACTATATCAGATTTTTTATTACTCTTCAGGTTTCTCTGTATCTGTTGAAAATTCTGAGAATTTTTATATAAAAATAGTTGAGTAGATTCAAATTCTTGATTTCAACAGAAAGCTCACTCAGTTCCAATGACTACAGTGCTGTGATAAAGTACCTCTGGTTTTAATATAAAGAAAGATCCTGTAACTTGTTATCAGGAATTAAATGCAAGATAATCCTTATGTCTATATCTTCCCTTAATTCCTTAGTATCTAAAATCTATTATCATTAATCAGGAGTTTCCATTTTTCATTTCTACTATACACACTCTTAAGTCTAGATAGATCGTGATTCTTTCCAGAGTCTTAATTAAAAAGGGGATTATGTAATGGAAATTGTGTCTGTTGTATAGGTCAAGATTTGATTTGGGTCTGGAAAATGTTTTTCACTCTACATATCTGATGAAATGCAAAGACACCTTGTGTTAACAATTAATTATCATTTCATGAGTTCATTAGTTATTTGTTGATGAAAGCAAATATGGGGAATCCCTTATGAACTACAAGAATGGTCAAATTAGTGCTATGTCAACTTGATTCACATCAACAAGTTGCAGAGAATAGGTGTTTTCTTTACAGTTTACATAGGAAAATTGCAGTCAGAAATAGCTCCTTTCTTTTCGTTTTTCCTTGCACTTAAAACATTTTAATGATTTACAATCGTGTTACTAGATAAAAAGAGATTCATTTTGTGGATAGTGAGATTTGCATCTGTACCACTGCTAAGCAATTGTCAGGAAATCAACAAACAGAACTGATTATTTCCAAGGTTGCTCAGTGGTAAAAGATTTTACATTGATTTAGCCCTTGCAATAAAGTTGTTTCACCTAAACTGTCCTGGTTATTTGGATTCAGCTTTTTTAGCTAAAGTTAGGCACCTAAATGAACTACTTTACAATCGAAGTTGCTAAATATTTCTGTTAATTTCAAAACTTAGTGGTCTGTTAAAATACATGAAAGTAATAACAAAACCAGTCAGATTATGTGGATGCTATCTACGCATTTATCTGTCAACATGCAACATGTATTTAGCTATAAAGTCTTAACAGTCATACTGGTGGGTCTATCTAACATAGGGGCTAATGCCCATATCTGTGTGGAAACTGATATATTAGATAAAATATGATAATTGACAAATAAATATAAATTTTAAGTGTTCTGAGTCCCATCCTTATATATTTTTGAGCTTTTCAAGAACTGGACATTACACATTTCATCACCAACTTGATGTACTTGACACTTTGCAGAAACATTGCCTATAAATAGGGCAAATCAGTGATTCTCCAATTTGTTAAACAATCAAATGCTGTGTATCAAATGTTGTCTATATATGATATGTATCAAAACAAATTGTTAACTTTACAGTAAGAAGTTGTTAATTTGTATCACAAGCAGTATACATTTTCCTGAATTATTATTTTCCTTGGATATTGATCCGAATCACAGCAATACATCCAACATATTGTACTAGTGACACATTCCACGTTTAGCACAGAGTGCTAACTCTGGCCTTAGCTGTGTTCACAAAAGTGATCACTTCCTAAGATATTACTTGCTTTGTGTCCCAAATGTTTAGGGATGTGTTTTCTCATGGTTTTACTTGTGTTTCCTTGCATATCTGTTTGCATCAATGAGTTGCATCTTACATACATGAATTATAGTCTTAATGAATTACAGACTTAAAGTTTACACTGAAATATAGGAACAGTAAAGTATTGCAATTGAAATTCTAGAAGAAAATTTATTTAGAGGTAGGAAATGAAAGAAAAAATGTTCTTTACTTTTGCATGAATCATGCTGTGTAAAAGCATAACAATTTTATCCAATTTTTTGTGTTTTCAAGGTGCAGAAGGCTTAATCTTCAGCCTTTAGCTTACCTGTGGCATCGGAACCAGCAAATATTGCTTAAAGAAATGATATCATCTGGCATTCAAGCCATAATCATAAAAGTGGCAGCTTTTGGTATGTATTCAGATTCTGAGCAATACTATGTACTGTAATTTGCCATGGACAAATCCACAGCATAACAGAGAAAAACAGAAGTTTTAATCCGTATTTTACGATACGAACTGTTAATATGGAAAAAAGTTTTTTTAAAATCACATGGCTCAATAATTGTCATTATGTCTGAACAATTAATTTACCATGATGCAATTCCTTCTTAAAAGAGACATCGAAATGCTTCCTGACATAGTCATTAAATTACTTTTGTAATTCTTTCGTCCTAGTTTGGTTTTGATTTACAGTAAAGATGCATGTATAATTCAGTGGTTCACGGTATTGTCATTTATAGATGATGCAGACTGATTTCTAGACAATATTATAAAGCACCCGTAGAAGTTTTAATAGAAAAACAACACGTTGACATCAAACAACATGAGGCCAAAACATTTCATGTAACAAATGTTTCGTGTAACTGCATTCCCTTTGAGTTGGTAAAGCATAATAGCAAACAGAAATAGTTCATAATTGCCTCCAAAAAATGGTATTTACAATGTAGTTGTTTAGCATACCAGAAAATCAACATGTCTGGTTACTGTCAGATATGTAAAATGAGCTTTGTGTAATGAAGCAAGTCAATACAAAAGATAACCTGTTCGTTTGTTGCGGGAATGTAAAGATAACGTGAAATGAAGTTTTATAGGAAGACTTACGGAATGATGTGCTCCAAAAGCCTGTGGAGCACATGAGAAACATGTTAATAGTACAATATATTCATTTCAAGCCATTATGCAGTCTTCTATTTAAGAGTATAAAATGGGTTTTTAAGCAGAAAGTGTGACCAAAGGACCTTTTCATTTTGGCTTGGCTATAGATTTTTGGTCCACTGTACCAAATATGGCTTGTATCATACAAGTGGTGTTGGTAGTTAGATGTATTTGAAAAATAGAGTTGTATAATCTTGCATTTGAAGTCTGATGGCTGGTTTATCTGGGCAACTTTCACATCAAATTCCTAATGCCTGTCTCTGTTAAAGAATACTTCATAACAAAGTAATTTCTTCTTAATTATTAACCAATAATTGAATTGTAATCCCTTTGGACTGGATGATTTCCATTACTTTTTAAAAATTAATTATTTTCAAATTTTATTTATTTATTCCTCTTTAGCTGGTACAGTTTCTAACTCGTTTTTGTGTTATCACTATGATGGTCTCACTGTATTGTTCTGTAGAATCTGCTATGGGTGATAGAAGGTTTAGAATTATTAGAGATACTGCATTCCCTCATTCATTTATAGGTAACAGGCATTGTAATTTGATAGCTTTTTCCTGAATTTTGGAAGGTCAGTTGCAAATACATAGGAGTTGAACGCCATGTTTTCTACTATAAAACACTTCTTTTAAAATTGAAAAAATATATAATTTTTAAGATAATAATTTCCAGGCCTTGTAAAGCACATTTATAAATTTATATTTCCATAAAATAGAATGCTTTCTTTACTTATGCTGACGTGAAGAAAATAAAAGTCCACAAAGTCTATGTAACGTGTTTTTTCACATCAGAATTATTTTTCAAAGAAAATATATGATTCAAATAATAGAGAAAGGTATTTCCCAAGAAGTCATCATTGATGACCTGTCTTACGCCTGAAGCAAGATAAGCTTCTCTTTTGTATTCTACAGTCTTAAAAAAACCTTAAAATGCACTAGTTAGTGCACAGAGTGCTTTGTGGGCTATTCATTGAAAGAGCGAATACCATAAATACTTGTAGATAGCATTTAGATAGAAAATCACTCCAAGTTATTTTCCCTTTTTATTTTTTGGCTACAGGTAAAAGAAAGATCTTATCAGAGTCAATTTCTCACCTGCCTCAGGCAGATGTAATTAGATGTAAGCAAATTTAATGGAGCTTTTGTGCTCTGGGGCCATTCTGTAATGCTTTAATAATTGCATGCCTTATTAAAGTGGATTTAAGGTATGAAGGCTTTTTAACATATCAAGTGGCAAAAAAAGATAAGATACAGTTTAACTTTTTGCCTCTTAGGTTAGTAATCAAAGCTAAACTGAAATGAAAATATTTAAAATAACAGATTTAAGAGTGTGAAGGGTAACGCATTAGATGGTATATTCTACAGATGTTAATGCAAGAAGCAAATCTGTAACCTAAGGTTGACATTCATCAGTGCTGGCATACTTGTACACCCGCCTTGTCCTGTTTTCCATTAACTCAGTGCCAGTATTGACAGGGTAAAAGCCTGTCATTTTATGTAGAAAACACTTAATTATGCAAGTAAATGAGCATTAGTTTAGTACATTTCCCTAAACCCACCATTACAAATTAATACCATAAACTTTGCCAGTGGCAAGAGTTTTCTATCTCAGAGTAGTGGGCTTTTCCAGATTGGATGCCAATTGCTCTCACTTACATGCAAAAGAAGTATTGTTAGCAACCTTTTTCACATGCCTTCTGTTGATCTATAAGTGGATCAGCTTTCTTTCATTTGGAGTATATTTCAGAGACTTTATTAATGAGAGATAAAGACATTCCATGATCTAGCAGCAAACCAGAGCTATACACACACACACACACACACACATATATATGTGTAAAAGCTACTTATGCATATTTACCCTCAGTGCCATTTTATTGCTGTTAAAGGTGCTTGTATGATACATGATACTTTTATTTTTGAAATATACCCCTCTTCAGTGGAAATCCCAGAAAGTCAGAATGAGGTTACTTAGTGACAGCTAAAATTGAAGCAGTTATTGATTGTTTTTAACATGTGTGTGCCTGAAATTCAGATTGCTCATCTGAGGCAGTGTAATAGAGCATGTGTAATAGAACAGAAGCAGTGCAATATAACACAATAACAACTTGCATTTTTAATCTCCTTCCTCTCTGGATGCATTTTAGGATTAAAATACTCATTAACTTGCAGAGTATGCATTTAACAGAGTCAACTTTAAATCTTGGTAACTTTATGTACTGGTCTGACATGTGCCACATTCTAATACTTCCTCTGCAGAACAGCGTGTAATACACACATAAAAGTGAGGGAAGGAGGAGGGTTAAATTTGGAATCTTTGGGTTCCTCACAGTATGATCCTCAGTAAAAATTGAGCATCAAGTGTATCTAGTTTTACTTGACTTATATAGTTAACTATACCTAAATATTGTTAAGTATTAAGACTAAAACTTAAGCACCACTATACATTTTAAGAGATGACAAACTTCAGTTCTCATATATATCTGAGAATATACTTGAAGTTGGTTTTATGTCATGCAGTTAAAGCAGTTTGTCTTCAGTGATTGTAGTTTTTCTTGAGGTTTTAAGAGTAGCATTTACCTTCAGTAGGTTTTATAAGTGCACACTGTTGTTAGCTTGAGAATATGGGGGAGAATTGTTTCTTCAATATTTCAGGCAAAATCAGAACATATAAGCTCAAATTCCTGTCTTTTGTGAGATTCATATGCATTATTTACTTTATACATTTGACTATTTAATTAAATACCTGAAAAAACATTGTAATTATGAGAGCATAGAAATCATAATAGAAATACTGAGTTAAAAAAGAAATACTCTTTCGTGGTTAAATTATGTTTCTAACTTCTAGCTGCTCTTTGGACCACAGGATAGAAATGATACCTTAGTGCTATTCAACTCTTGGACAATTATAAAAGCTGAAACTTTGGATCTGGGCTGATTAGCTTGTGTTCTCAACCTACATTTGAAGTAGATCTCTTTTATGCCATGGCTACATCCTTTATCTTGCAGGTCTGGCTGCTCTTAGTGCTTATAGACATTCTGCATGCTCAGCCATGGGTAGTGTTGAAGTCACGGTGTCTGTGGAAACCTTGATTTTGAGATAGTGTGGACCATAGTTGCTTACCCAAGCTATGTTCCTCCAGCTACAGAGTTATGAGTCCTTAGTGAGCCATTATCATCTCCTGTGTGTCAGGAAATCCTAAAGTTCCTTCTCTAAAATGAGCTGTCTGAAGTACCTATATTTAACTTGAGTCTCCTTTGGTGCAAGAAAATCTTGATGCTTGCCTTACATGGTTAGGAAAATTGGTATACACCTGCTATTCATAGAGCCCTCTGAGAAACTGACATTATTGAGTGCAGTGCTTCTTAAGAAAGTATCATAGGCAAAATAGGGGAGAGATGGCTTAAGAGTGGAAAGATTACTTTGCAGTTTGGGGAGATGGCATCATCTAAAGGAATATTTAAATGGAAGCATCAGGCTGATAGACTATTAGGGATTTAAAGTGAAACTGAAAAGGAAGTAAGGGTTAAAGAGACAGAAGAACAGTTAGAGACATTGGAGCTGAAAAATACTGGAAGAAAAAGAGCTTAGTAAGAGATGTCAAAAGCAGAAATAATCTTAACAAAATGAAAATCAAGAGATAGAAGTGGTGTCTTGTTAATACTGGATTATTTGCTGCTCTTTAATGCCTGGTAAGACTGAAGTTGTAGATGTACATTTAGTGTGCAGATTTTTGTGCTGAAACAGGGCATAAACTCAAAACTTTAGAGACATATCTGTGTAGTTAGAACCATGAATACTTGCTTTCCAGGTCACTCTGAGTTGAAGTTTTACAGGACTTCATGTCCTAATCTGATCCTTTATTTCTGCTCTGGCCATTACCCCATTGGAAGATCTACCGATCTTCTCTGTCAGAAGTCTCTGTTGATCCATTTGGGGATTGTGACATTTTAAAGGTTTATAACTTGTCTGCATGGAGATGGATTTAATGAAAATGATACAAATTTTACCACTAGCACTATACCTCTTCCACTGAATGAAATTTCAGTTATTTTCTTCAAACCTGTTCAAAGCATGGAAATACCAATATTCTGCAAGAGGAACAAAATAGCTAATCCTTTTCTATTCACACTATGGTGCTAGATTAATTGAACTATTTGAATTAAACAGATTAATGCAAAAACAATTCTCTAAAGATATTCTACTCAAAGCATTTCAGTATGACAAAGTTAACAACCCAGAAAACAG